AAGCAAGCAAGCAAGCAAGCAAGCAAGCAAGCAAGCAAGCAAGCAAGCAAGCAAGCAAGAAACCAACCCATCCAACTCACCTACCAACCAATCAACCCAGCTACCAACCAATCAACCAATCCACTTAATATCAACTAGGTGTGTTGACATGCACTGGTATTCTCAGCTCCCCAAACTAAAAAGGCAAAGATCAGCAGTTTCCTGGGTCTCACTAAGCAGCCAACCTATAGTTTCTGAGGTCCAGGCCAGTGAGAGACCCTGTCTGCACAAAGGTAGATAGCACCTAAAGAAGGACTTTGGCAGGAAAAGTAGTGTTTGTGTCACTTGTAAAGCCCTTTCAGCATTTGTGTGTCTCTTCTTTGCATTTGTGATTGTCACTTCATTGATTGCTTCCTTTCCTTGCTTAATTGCTGCAGATCCCTTTAAAATTAAGCAAACAAGGACTTCTTCAACCAGAAAACCCACTCCTTCTAAAAGTTGTGTCCAGAGATGAGACCATAAGTCGAGCATGATTTATAATGCTCTGTTATGTTGTATCCTGTGGACCAGAAACCAATTCATATTGTGATTGATCCAGAGATGAAGATTGCAGTAATTTTGTGCACTCCTGCAGGATTCTGGGTGTTCTTTGAGCTTGCTCAGCCCCTGTGCAGGTTATCTCCTATGAAGTATAATGATGTAATGACACAAATCTAAGGTAAATATTGTTAAATCCCTGGTTCTTGAGGGATTGCCTACGTCCACTTCATTGTTACCACCAAATACTCTGATTTCTTATGAGAAAATAAACACCAATTACTAGTTTTTTCAACAATTATTACTGAAAATGAGCATTTTTATAGTCATGCTAATGACCAAATTTTTACCAAACTTTTTTACTTGCAGCATACTACATTGAAGTACTAAGCTGAGATGTCAATAACCATGATGGTATTGACTTTTCATAGAGAGTTGTGAAAGAACAACTATGTACTTCAGATATGGCACTAATGAGAGACCAAAGGAATGATTCTACCTAAGTCTAGCTTAGTGAGCCAGTGCCTTTCAAGGGGGTACTTACAGAATCATGGGTGAAGGGTTGCTCACATATGTATGGGTGATTCAACCTGAAGTTCTGTTGGGCCATGGAAGGGCATCTTCGTTCGTGGGTTGGCATGGGCCTGGAACCCCAAGACTGCAAGTGTTCAGCCATGCCCCCAGATCCCAGGGCCCTGACACGTGGTCTAATCTCCGGTCTAATCTCCATTTAACCTGTACTGTCAGTCACATAAGACACAGGTTGAGGGAGTGACTAACAGACTAATGTAAATTCAAGAAATTTACATATTAATGAGTTATCTAAATGCTAGGGGGCATAGCTAATTAGATTACCCCTTCCCAATCCCTCCTTTTTCCCACTCCCCTATAAAAGCCAGCTCTCCCCTGGCTCTTGGGGGGCACTCACACATCCAGATCCAACTATCACATCATGGACAATTAACTTCTGTTTACCCAGTCCACGTGTCTTCTGGGGCAGGCCGCCTCTAATGGGGTCCCAGGACGTTGCTGTATGGGCTCAGGATACTGTGCAGGCCCAGGGCTACACGTGTTGTTTCCCACAAAGTTCCCTGAAATTGTTACTGTTTATGTAACTTGGGAGTTTTGGGCTTATGACTCTTATAAGTTTTAGGAACTTCCTGAAACTTGTGAACTTTGTTTTACATCCTGAGTCTGGTTAAGATTCATCTATTTCTGAATTTTTAAAAATATTTCTCTCTTACATTACATCCTGACCAGTTTCCCTCTCTCTACTCTTCCCTGTTACCCCTCCCTACTTCCTTTATCCACTCCTCTTCTGCTTTCCTTTAGAAAAGAGCAAACCTCCTAGGAATATCAACCAAATACAGCATAACAAGTTACAAAAGACTAGGCATGAACCCTCATATCAAGGTTGGTTGAGGTATCCCAGAAGGAGGAAAAGGGTCCAAAGATAAGACAAAAGAGTCAGTGACAGCCAACTCCCACTGTTAGCAGTCCCACAAGAACATCAGGCTAAACCACCATAATATTTATGCAGAGGACCTAGTGCAGTCCCATGCAGACTCTCTGATTGTCAGGTTACTCCTTATGAGCTCCTGTGAGCCCTGCTTAGTTGACTGTGTGGGCCATAGTCTCATGGTTACTTCTGAATCTTAATGAGTTTCCCCCTAGATGATATTCTCACTTTTAGAAAGAAGTAGCTATACAACAGGGTGGTTTGATAAACTCAACCAGAACCTATTATTTTTGTTGTTTAATTATTTTGTCATTATTATTCAGTTATTTTATTTATGCATTTATTAGCACATATTAATTATATATATAATTATATATAATAATGAGTTACATTATGTTACCTTATGTACATATCTAACATATTTTGATTATATATACCTTCATTACTCTCCTTTGTCATTTTCCCTGTAATCTCTTTTCTTAACCAGCCCCTATGTGTTTTTGTGTGTGTAAATTTAATTAGTGTTGTTTGTAGGTAGTGTAAGTAATGGTTCATTCACAGTAGCATGGGTTTTTACCAGTGGGCTGGTAAAAACATCTTTCCCTGAGCTACTGTAAGCTCCATGTAGCTTATAAGGGGTGGAACCTCACATCTTTCTGAGGTTTTCTTTCCTTCTCTAACTTGTTTTTCTCACACATGTGCTCCTGAGAGTCCTCTCAGGAACCCATCTTGAGTCCTCACCAGAGTCCTCATCTCAGGCTGTAACAGTCTGAATGAAGACTGTCCCCCATGGTCATGGGCTTTTGAACATATGGATGCCAGTTGGTGGTGCTGTTTGAGGATGTGCAGGTGGCAGAGCCTTGCTGGATGAAGTATGTCACTACAGGTGGACTGTAAGATAATAAGCTTCACCTCATTCTCAGTTCCCTCACTGTGTTTCATGCTTGCTCCTACAGCTTGCTGCCCTGCTTCCCTGCCATATGCACTCTAATCCACCTGGTATCTGAAACCCAAATAAGCTCTTCTATAAGTATATTTAACCATGATGTTTATCACAGGAAAAGAAAACTGACTAGTAGGCGCTGTTTTAAAGACTCCAACCTGTGTTTATGTGCTTGTGAAATATTTTTTCGTCAAGATTTTGTAGCAGCTACAAGGCAAATAATTGAAAGTAATACAACTGGTTTGTAGGAATGTAAGAGCTGATAAATACCATTTTGGAGATTTAGTCTCAGATGGTTCAAGAAGAATAGCTCCTAGAACAAGCTTTCCTTTTGGTTTGCTATTATTTAGGGAAAAATAAACATAGGTGCTTGTTGTCTTAAATAGTTTATTCGTAACTCTCATATATCCCCCTGGTTCTGTTCATATACTGTAACAGAGCAGTATCACACAGGAATTGAGAATGTGGGCTCTGCGACTAGAGCTCCTGAAAAAAAAAAAGGAAAATGGTGGGGGAATATCTTACATTTTACTTTGTGTGCATTTTGCATGTGAGTTAGTGTCTCTGCCTATCTCTGTCTACCTCTGTCTCTCTGTCTGTCTCTCTGCCTGTCTATCTCTCTACTCCCTATACGCATGTGAGCTGCTTTTAAAACTTAGATTCTTCAAAACTTACTTGAATTAGCGTTCTTAAATGCTTTAATCTTTTTTCTACACCACTGACCAGAGGTAGCAGGGAGTAAAGATTAGTTGGAAAAGGGATTTAGAAGTAGTACTTTTGGGTAATTCCAATCTTTGTTGTCAGGATATCAGCAGTACATTCCAAAAGCAAACACCTTATACAAGTCAGTAGAGGGAGTCCAGTCAAATAGCAAACACCAAACAGGAATCAATAACTGGCTTGATCCAGCAGAAGCTATAAGGCTCCTTCAAATTGGCACTAGTCAGCAGAAGTGGCAAGAATTAGTCAGAATACTACGAGAAGTTCTTTAGTGAGTTTCCCTTCATGAAATGAAGACCAGAGAAGACCAGTGAAGCATTGTTTGTCTAGCAAAGGTCAGCAAAGTGCTGCAAGGCGTTGCAATGTAAGTTCTCTGACTCTCTGTTGGGTTATATTTGAATTCTTTCTAAACATCACACATCCTCTCAAATTTCTGCTCTAGCAAAACATTCTCTCACAAGACAATTTTCAGAAAAAAGTATGTGACACATCTGAGTTTCCAAAGAGATCAGAAATTTCCAGTTCACACCCTTGCCATATCCCTGATTTTAGTGGGATTGCTTCAAGTTTCTTTTCATTTAATTTGATATTGGCTATTGGCTTCATGTATATTACTTTTACTATGTTTATGAATGTGCCTTTAATTTCTGACCTCTCCAAGGCTTTTAACATGAAGGAGTGTTAGATTTTTGTCGAAGATTTTCTCAGCATCAAGTGAGATGATCATGTGATTTTTTTCTTTCAGTTTGCTTATACAGTGGATTGTGTTGATGGATTTTCATATATTGGACCATCCCTGAATCCTGGGATGAAGCCTGCTTCATTGTGGTGAATTATGTTTTTGATGTGCTCTTGGATTTGGTTTGCAGGGATTTTATTGAGTATTTTTGCATTGATGTTCAAAAGCAAAATCGGTCTAAAGTTTTTCTTTCTTTGTAGAGTCTTTGTGTGGTTTAGGTGTCAACATAACTGTGGCCTCAGAATTAACTGAGTAATGTTCCTTCCATATGTATTTTATGCAGTAGTTTAAGGATTATTGGTATTAGCTCTTCTTTGAAAATCTGATAGAAGTCTGCACTAAAACCATCTGGTTCTGGGCTTTTTTTTTTTTTTTTTTTGGTTTTGGAGGCTTTTAATGACTGCTTCTATTTCCTTAGGGGTTATCGAGCTGTTCAGATAGTTTACATGCTCTTGATTTAACTTTGGTAGGTGGTATCTGTCTAGAAAATCATCTGGTTTGTTTAGATTTTCTAGTTTTTTGTAGTACAGTTTTTTGATGTAAGACCTAAAGATTTTTAAAATTTCCTCAGTTTCTGTTGTTCTGCCTCCCTTTTCATTTCTGATTTTGTTAATTAGAATACTGTCTCTGTCTCTTTTAGTTAGTTTGGCTAAGGGTTTGTCTATCTTGTTGATTTTCTCAAAGAACCAGCTCTTGGTTTTTTTGAGTTTTTGAATTGTTCTCTTAGTTTCAGGTGTGATGTTAAGTTGCTCATAAGAGATCTCTTCAATTTCTCTATGGAGACACTTAGTGCTATGAATTTTCCTCTTAGCACTGGTTTCATTTTGTCTTATAAGTTTGTGTATGTTGTGCCTTCATTTTCATGGAATTCTACAAAGTCATTAATTCTTTCTTTCTCTTTCTTTCTACCTTTCTCTTTGTTACCCTCCCTCCCTCCCTCCCTCCCTCCCTCCCTCCATCCATCCATCCATCTCTCTCTCTCTCTCTCTCTCTCTCTCTCTCTCTCTCTCTCTCTCTTTCTTTCTTTCTTTCTTTCTTTCTTTCTTTCTTTCTTTCTTTCTTTCTTTCTTTCTTTCTTCCTTCTCCCTGATCAAGTGGTCATTGAGTAGAGAGTTGTTCAATTTCCATGAATATGGTGGCTTTCTGTTTT